CAATTCCTTTCCTTAAGCATGTCAAAACCTCCCCTTCATCTAATTGATAAATAATATTCATTTATTTTCAGATTTATATTAAATAAAAATTTGGAAAAATAGTTTTCTCTCCAATTTTGACATTAGAGGCCTCCTTAAGCCCTTAGGAACTTAATTAGGAAACATGCGACCTATAAAAACTAGGTTTGGAAAAATCCTAGACTTTTCCCAAATTTTTTTCCACTCAAATTCTCTAAATGAAAATTCATATTTCTAATACCAAAAGGCTTCCTTTGAACTCTTTTAGCCATTCCTATAAAAAGTTCATCAAAATGAGAAACCCTAAAATTCGGATCCTAGGTTTTCCCTTAAGAAATCATCTTGAAATTGAATTAAAATACATTCCTAAGCAAACCCTAAAGGTTTGCTAAAGAAACGTTCAAGAAAAACCAAACCCTAATTTTCAGATTTCAATCTTTTTCTCAAATATTTTGACATGAAGGGTAGAACAACATAGATCAAAGAAATTCTTAAAGCTTTCCTAAAGAAATTTCTCAAAAATATCAAACCCTAGAATTTTTGTATACAAAAAAACTCAATGAATCTTTCATTTCTCTTAAGAACAACTTACGTCAAGTCTTCCTCTATGCTTTTCCTAAGGATTCTCGCCGGAATCGCCGGCTTGGAAGGAGCTCCCGCCGCTTCTCCCTCTCTCCCGTTGCCCTCTCTCTCTGGGTCGGCCGAACAAAACAACAAGGGACCGATTATTTTGGCCCCTTAAGCAATATGAGGGCTTTAGGAAAGCTTTTTACGCATGTGCCCTTATCCCCTAAGTCATTCTATTTTCTCATGAAGGGCAAAATGGAAAAATAAAGGCAAAAGTTACTTAAACGAACTTCGGCGAATTTTAATTCTCAAATCGTGCGAAATTAGGTATAAGTTCTTTATACCATTTCGCTCGTAATTTTGAGACGAATCTAATGAAATTTATTTCGTCAATTTCTGACGACATCGAAATTTCACTTAAGTTCGTCGTGGCGCATCGATATGCGTGCGACGCACTCAAATAACAAATTTCGGGTTTTACAATTCTCCCCTCCTAATAAAAATTTCGTCCACAAAATTTGAAAAGAAGATAAAACCAAACAATCATACCTTACGCAAAGAGATGAGGGTAGCACTTCCTCATTTCTGACTTTTTCTTCCACGTGGCATTCTTCTCCAATCCATGTTTCCACAGAACCTTCACGAACGGTATCTCTCTGCTTCTAAGCTGTTTCACACTAAACTCCAGAATCCGATCTGGTTCTTCAACATATGAAAGATTTGGCTGCAAGTCCACATCTTCTGATATAATCTTAGAAGGATCATCTGATATATACTTCATCAGTGAAGAAACATGGAACACATTGTGGACAGCATAAGTAGTGGGTAAAGCTAATCTGTAGGTCACCTTCCCAATCCTTTCCACTATCTCAAAAGGACCAATATAGCGGGGACTAAGTTTGCCAACCTTGCCAAAACGTAGTACACCCTTCATCGGCCTAATCTTTATGAAAGCATAGTCTCCCACATTGAATTCCACAAAGCGGTGCTTAGCATCATAATACTTCTTCTGCCTATCTTGAACTGCTAGCAACCTATCTCTGATCAATCTGATTTTGCTTGTGACATCATCAACAAGATTTGATCCAATTACCTTCCTCTCACCAGTCTCTGCCCAACAAAGAGGTGTTCTGCATTTCCTTCCATAGAGGGCTTCATAAGGCGCCATTCCTATGCTGGCTTGGAAATTATTATTGTAAGCAAACTCTATCAAAGGAATATGAGATTTCCAACCTCCACCAAAATTAAGGATACACAATCTCAATAAGTCTTCCAGAGTTTGAATGGTTCTTTCTGTTTGTCCATCAGTCTGAGGATGGAAAGCAGTGCTGAATGTCAATCTAGTGCCCATAGCCTATTTCACTTTCCTCCACAGTCTAGAAGTAAATCTACCATATATATCAGATACTATGGACTTAGGCACGCCGTGCAATCGTACAATTTCAGCCACATATAGCATTGCTAGCTTCTCAACTGAATCAGTCAATCGGATAGGCAAAAAGTGAGCAGACTTTGTGAGCCTATCAATGACAACCCAGATAGCATCATGGCCCTGCCGAGATCTGGGTAAACCTGATACGAAGTCCATAGCAATATCATCCCACTTCCACTCTGGAATCGGTAAGGGTAGAAGTATCACTCTGGAATTCGTGACAAGAATGGTATCAGAGCAGAGTTTAGGATGTGAATCTATATAAGCGCCATTAGGTTGATTGATAACTTTTCGACGTTAGCTATAATATTTTAGGATGGTGTAATGATGTGCATCTGTTTGAATTGGCTTTATTTCCTTTGTATAGGGCTATGGATCAGGAACCCGATGCCACTGATGGCAACACAGATGGGCATAATGATCCCATTTCTAGAGAGGTTCCAACTATACCTTCAGTAGCACAACCTACTGGTGGTAGTAGTACGACTGTGGATACGTTTAATCAGATGATGGCGGCTGTCACACACCTGATTCGGCATTATCAGGGACAGCCCCAGACTAGTTCTAGGAGGGAGCCAGTAGTAGACAAATATCTGAAGATTTTCCAAGACATGCGACCACCACTCTTTACAGGAGTAGGAGAGCCAGTAGATGCTGAAAACTGGCTTTTGAGGGTTGAAAAGATACTAGAGGGTATGCAATGTCCTGTTGATCGGAGGGTGACCTTAGCTACTTTTTCTCTGGATGGGGAGGCCGAGAGATGGTGGCGAGGACAATCTTTGGAGAAGTTTGGTGGTAGAACAGATTCCTAGATCTTATGGGAGGACTTTGTGAAAGTCTTCAGAGATTGGTTTGTGCCTCTTTCTGTGAGGAGTTAGATGCAGGAGAGATTCTTGCGACTGGTGCAAGGTGATCGGACAGTCATGCTATAACGACCCAAGATCCGTGTAGCGAAAATCACTTACAAAAACGCAAATCTAAGCACCATTTCGCAAAATCTCAAAATCTTTGAAAACAGAAGTAGGGTTCGGAATCCTTACAGCGAGACAAACAAAATATCCAACAGCAACGAACGACGAAAATCGCTCCGCGGGCCCCGAAATCGGACTTCTTCCTTTGCTTTTCCGCTCTTTCTCTCTCCTCAAAATATCTGATTTTTTTATAAATGTTTTCTCTCTCCTCAAAACGAGCTCATTTTCTTATATCATTAGTGGGATCGGCCCGGCCGATCGCCACATCGTCCCGGGACGATCAGACCAAAATTGATCGTCCTGGACGACTCCCAGAACTATTCTCAGGACGATATTTTCTACAGTGCAGATCGGCCTGGACGATCTCACTATCGTCCCGGACGATTCATTCCAGAAATCACTCCAGAAAACATTCCAGAAATCAACTGTTTTCAATACACTGATCGGCCTGGACGATCTCACCATCGTCCCGGCCGATCCTGGGGAAAAATCACTTTTCCCAGCAGCTACAACAAAGGAACGAGGTCTCACACATGCAATATGAAGCTTAGTTTACCACACTGTCCCGGTATGCCTAATTTCACACGATTTGAGAATTAAAATTCGCCGAAGTTCGTTTAAGTAACTTTTGCCTTTATTTTCCCATTTTGCCCTTCATGATAAAATAGAATGACTTAGGGGATAAGGGCACATGCGTAAAAAGCTTTCCTAAAGCCCTCATATTGCTTAAGGGACCGAAATAATCGGTCCCTTGTTGTTTTGTTCGGCCGACCCAGAGAGAGAGGGCGACGGGAGAGAGGGAGAAGCGGCGGGAGCTCCTTCCAAGCCGGCGATTCCGGCGAGAATCCTTAGGAAAAGCATAGAAGAAGACTTGACGTAAGTTATTCTTAAGAGAAATGAAAGATTCCTTGAGTTTTTTTGTATAGAAAAATTCTAGGGTTTGATATTTTTGATAAATTTCTTTAGGAAAGCTTTAGGAATTTTTTTGATCTATGTTGTTCTACCCTTCATGTCAAAATATTTGAGAAAAAGATTGAAATCTGAAAATTAGGGTTTGGTTTTTCTTGAACGTTTCTTTAGCAAACCTTTAGGGTTTACTTAGGAATGTATTTTAATTCAATTTCAAGATGATTTCTTAAGGGAAAACCTAGGATCCGAATTTTAGGGTTTCTCATTTTGATGAACTTTTTATAGGAATGGCTAGAAGAGTTCAAAGGAACCCTTTTGGTATTAGAAATATGAATTTTCATTTAGAGAATTTGAGTGGAAAAAAAATTTGGGAAAAGTCTAGGGTTTTTCCAAACCTAGTTTTTATAGGTCGCATGTTTCCTAATTGAGTTCCTAAGGGCTTAAGGAGGCCTCTAATGTCAAAATTGGAGAGAAAACTATTTTTCTAAATTTTTATTTAATATAAATCCGAAAATAAATGAATATTATTTATCAATTAGATGAAGGGGAGATTTTGGCATGCTTAAGGAAAGGAATTGACAAAATATGAAAGTCATAATTTTAGAAATTTTAATAAATCCGAAAATAATAATTAATTTAAATAAAAGTAACATGTTAAAGATTTAGATTTAAGTATTGAGATTAGAAATCTCTTGTTTTTCCTTAGGTTGGAATAAGGAAAAAGAGGTGAGGAATTGTACGGAAAATTTTCAAAGCACGGCTTCTTAAGAGTAAGTGACTCTATTTGCTAAAACAAGTATGCCTTTATTGTTCATACCTCTTATGCTATGTTTAATGTTTAAATTTCATACAAGGGTGACTTAGTGTTCAATTTCATGCAATTGTTCCTTAATGTCAAGGGTACTTAGTGATACATTTCATGCAATTGTTACTTAATGTCATGCAATGATACTTAGTGTAAAAGATACAAAAGGTCATTAATCTATCATATGCATTTCTTTGCATATTATATGAAAGCATCTTATTATATGCATGCTACATAGCTTGTGATTGTTGATGACAGAGTACCAAAAGGTTATAGACGGCCTTTGAGACAAGATAGAACGAAATGAAAATGTTATGGCCATGAATGATGTGTACCTGATCAGTACAATTCGGTACTCCGGGACGGATGTATACATGATGAAATGGAAGTTAAACATATGTAAGTATTGCATGTTCTCTCATGTTAAGAAATCTCATTTCATGTTTTAGGCAATCATGTCTCATATCATGTCAACATACATTAAGACATCTATTAACTCATGTGTAGAGTATTATTCCCCAAGATATGTTCTTGCAAATGTATACAAACTTTAGCTATAGTTATCACTTGCTGAGCGAAGCTCATTCCCGAGTTTTGGGAAATTTTTCAGGAGAACCTACGCTTAGGTGATGGCCGAACACCCGAGGTTTACCTACAGTCGACGCGCAACGGGTGGCAGGTTCTTACTGTTGTTTTTAGTTATCATTTTTGGGTGGTTTTATCATGAATGAATAGTTTAAGTGTATACCACCTTGTACATGAACTTCTTTTGTGATGGTTTTAAATGTTATATATGTTGGAAAAAGGTTTAGAGGCGCTTTTATTATTCTTGAATATATTTAGAATTACATGGAACTGATGATGAGTACTTAAATTACATGTCCGATCTCGTTCCCGCCTCGTATCTACGAGCTAACCAGGTCGGGTCGTGACAAAAGCTGCTTTAAGAAAGAGTAAGAAAGCCGTCCCAAGCGAAGCCTTAATCAAACTTCTAAAGTTCCTGGATATTGTTGATTCAGTAATTGGCACAATATTTCAGTATTGAATAAGCCCATCTAAATAGCCCTATTAATCGTATGTGTCTATGAACCGAGTCTTAGCTAAAGTGCAGTATTTCAACACAAAATATAAGTTTGTTTGTTTTTGACCTTTTTCGCCTATAAATGTTAAAGTTGAGCAAAGATTCAGTCTTGAATGGGCCATCTAAACTTTCCAACTTCTTTAGGAGTTCACAATTTCAAAAGCTAGCACATATTTCGGAGAGAGAATTGTGCGGTTGAATAGCTAAAGTTACCACTGAGTAGGAATTAAATAACTACAGTAACATCCTATCTGGTATTCTTCTTGTTTACGCCATAAGTGGTCCTAACCAAGTCTTTCCTACATGTATTCTTCTTGATTTGACTAAAATGACCTTTCTTTATTATATATAAATGAGAATTTGACTCTTAATAGGACACAATGGATAAAAAATATTCATGTAGCTTATCCCATATAGTGGGATAAAAGCTTAATGTTGTTGTTATTGTATTAGATCTACATTTCGATTTAGGTTAGGAATATGCTTTTGACAAATCTTTAAGTTACATTAAGTTGGCTTACAAGTATTTTTGTTTTAGGATTTAAGTAAAATTTTGGTTTTGTACATTTATATTTTTTTTATATTTAAGTTTTACGATTTGTTTAAAAATTTTAGGTTAGATTTAAATGAATATTTTAGTGGAATTATATTTTGGTTATGAATTTTTTAAACAAAATTTGTACATATATATTTGATATTTTAACGTTTATTTAGGGTTTAGGATATTTATATTTTAAATATATGTAGTTATAATTTCATATATATTTATTTATATGTGTGTGTATATAAACATATAAACATACATACATTTCACATGCAGATCTTTATTTGTTAAACAAAATTATATACAACAAACATTAATTTGATATAAATACAATGTATAGATCGATATTTTAAGTCAAAGATAGCGAATTTATAATAGACTTTCTCTTGAGAACTATGTCTTTCATCCTAAACAGCTTCCTCCAAAACTAACTAAGAAACTCCTTATCTCGGTCAAGGCGACGATACAAGGCGCGTTGAAAATCTTGTTATACTCTTCAAAATGTTAAATTTTTTTGTCTTTATAAAAATGCATTTAACTTTGAAAGGCCTCACGTAAGTATGAATGCATCTTGTTGGCCTTCTGATGATCCAGTTAGAAGAGTAGATGTGTATTAGATTTGGTCTATCTTAAGAGAGGTAGAGATAAACCAAAAAAGACTTGGTTAGAAAATATTAGAAATGACATTTTTTTATTAGATTTAAATGAGAGTTTAACTCTTAATAAGACACAATGGAGAAAGAGGATTCATGTAACTAACCCCACGTAGTGGGATAAAAGGTTGATGATATTGTTGTTGTTGTTATAGTATGAGGGATGAAACTTGTCCATTTCAATCAATCCAAGTTCATTGTGCATGTTCATGAGAGACTTGTGTAGAGAGATTCCAATGTTCTAAGAGTGTGGAAGATTCTGTTCGCGGTTGCAGGCAAGCTGTTGTGTTCTCTGCAAGTCCCATTTCATGTCGAGTTATGTGATCAACCTTGTTGGCATTTTTGTAGTAGTATTTTTATTTTATGATTTTATAATTTCATTCTCAGCTCATGTCCACTAAAAGTTCATTTCAAGTCCCTGTGCATAGGTGGAATCTACGTAGAGTTTGAGTCAATCCACTACACCAAGAAAGACACATATGATCGATCCAAAAACACCACAGTTGAAATTTTCAAAATCGACTATGAGAAGAAAAGCATGCATGGAGTACATGCACAAGAAAATTTACAGCATTATAATTTCCCCCGTCATGCTAAAAAGGCACGTGCAGGTTCCATTCGTCATGTCAAATATGTTGCAATCAGAATTTTGAGAGTTTTATTTATTTATTTTATTTTCTATACCTAAGCTAAAAGAGTTAATGACGTGGCAATGCGACAAGATTTTGCGATGAGGATAAAACACATTTTTCTCTCTTTTTAAAAAAAAAAATTGTATCTCCTTTTACACATATATATATATATATACACACACATAAAGAGAAAGGAAGAGGGATTTTTATTCACTCTAATTAGAGAGAGAAAGGGACAGAGAGAGAGAGAGAGTGGGAAGGAGAGGGAAAGAAAAAGGAGTGAAGGAATGAAAGAAAAACTAAAGAGAGCAAGAATGGAGGCCTTCGCCAATGTAGCTTGGCCAGCGGTGACGTGGGAAAGAAGAAGAGCTGGAAATGGCAAAGTGATTGCCGATGTTGGAGTTACGGGAAGTAGAAGAGGTGTGTGTGGCTAGCTTGGTGAGTAAGTTAATTGCAATGGAGCTATTGCTAGCAGTATGCGAAGAAAATAAGAGTTTGGGAGGAATGCGGGTTGCACAATGTTGCGAGGAAGAGGAGAATGGCGTTGGAGGAAGAGTGCATGGGCAGAGGAAACAAGGTTGCTGACGTTGCATAAATGGGGTGGGATGGCGGCGGGTTGACAGATCAAAATGGGCGGACATGCATGAAGGTGAAGAGGACTCCGCGGGTAGCGTGAGGGGTTATGTGAAGTTTTGCAAAATATTGAGAACAAGTGAGAGGGAGAGAGCTGCAATGACTTTTGAATGCAATCAATAACCAGAGTTGCATGGGGTTATATTTGGTTTTATTTACATTTTTTAAAGTTCTTTCTCTGTTGGGATGATGAGACTCGTGGTGAACTTGACAAAAAATCAGGAAAATTCAAGGATTTCGACAGTGTATGAAATGACTTTTCTTAAAAATGGCATATGCATATATAACTGTAAACTCATACTAATCAGATTGCGCATGGTTATATTTATGTGTAATTATATTTAAGTGTAAGCCATTGTATTCCTATTCGAACCATCAAAAAGATCCAGCGTTTTAGAACTTAACAAGTCACCGTATCATGTATCCTCACATTGCATGCTTACTTACAGATGTTATGTGATATATTATTCCAAGAAACTAATCAAAGAAAGGGCAGGAAGCAAGAAGGTTCAAGCATATACAAAGAACGTCATAAGCTTATATAACTTATTGACTAGTGATGTGATGCAAGGTGAGTTACACAAGATTATGAAAGAAGATTTACTAGTTGCTTAACCTCTTATAAAAGTTGGTTATCAAATTTTTATAAGAGGTTAAGCAACTAGTAAATCTTCTTTCATAATCTTGTGTAACTCACCTTGCATCACATCAACTAGACAGTTAAATTCAAACTTGCTTATTCATAAAATATGCATTGGCCTTTGAATTAACAAGCAAACAATATCTACTTAGAATATTAAAAATAAATACAAATTTTTAAATGATTAAGTTATTATTCAATAATTCATCTTAAAAGTAAAAACATACTACATTGCCGAATTATAGGAAGGAAATAAAGATGAACATGCGTACAGAAGATTTTTAAAGCAGTACCTTGATTTCAAGGTCTGAATATGGACTTGCCCTTGACCTATAAAAATGAACAAAGTATCAACCAATGCAAAACACCCATTTATAACTTCAATAAAAAGGATAGTGCATTCAGTGTCCACACGGGACTAAATTTTCAATAACGATACATGCTTGAGATATTATAGTAAACGAAGGATAGAAGCCTAGTGTCTTAAAACCCAATAATAAATAAAAAGTCCAGTACTAAAGATATGAGTGTTGGGATATAACTTAACACCACTGGTGAAATCAGAAGGCAGCCGGGGTGGCACTCACCCCCAATACATTGAAATCATACATGACTGTATCATTTGAAAATTTTATAACCCTTAAATTTTCTTGCAATTATGTATAATATATAAGTTTCACACCTTCTAAATTTTAGATAAACTCTTCAACCCCTCACACTTAAATCCTAATTCTGCCATTAACACCTGAGTTCACCAGGCACAGACTCCAAATCATAGAGCTCCATCCTGACTCCGGGGATCTCACAGCAGACCATATTTTCAAAATTAAAAAGGCCTAATTAATTTGGACACATGACCACTCAAGCATAAAGGATTTATTCTGTCATAGTATATGTTCATTAAAAACATAATTCACCAATCCTTTTTGAAAAGTTCAAATACATAAGGCACTTTTTGGGAAATTAATGATAAATCGAGTACTTTATTATGTTAGAAACATTCTTCAAAAATTTTCCCACATTAATGCAGATCAACTTCACTAAACCAGAATAAAAAGAAGATATTATTGGCCATAACGAGTGGGTAATTTCAACTCACCTCCAGCATAAACATAATACAAGCTCATAAACTCAAACAAAAAAGGCTAGATCATGGATATCATAATTTAACACCACAAAAGTTGCAAACAAAGATAAATGCCAGTGTCGCCACTTTGAAAGGGGCTTTGAAAAGACATTTCAAAACTAACACGATACTTGCACCTTTTAAGGAACATTATGGCAACCACAAAATCGGTGATTGTAGCAGATATATACCACCTGAATAAAAGTCAAACCCTTTGGTCTGCATCTTCATAATCAAAGGAAGAATTAAAGTAATAGCTTAACAAAACAAAAGAAGCATAGTTGCACCGAACTATGGTCAAGATCCATCCATTAGGACTTTGAAATCATTCACATCAAAAAAAAAAAAAAAAAACTGATTAAAAAAACCATTTTAAAAAAATATATAATAACAAGTTATAAATGAATTGCCAGACCAACTCATATGAAAAATCTAATGCAAGGCAGGGCAAATCATCTTTAATAGCTCAGATGTCGTCCAAGAAGAACAAACAAATACATAAATAAATAAAGGCCAGCAAATCATACCTGTCGAGACCCAAAACTGCATAGTGATGTGACCACATATAATGCCCACTTGTTCGAGGACTCCTAGGTGCTGCTTTAAAATTAGGTCTTCTATCTTTGAAAGAAGTATCTTCCTCCCAATACCAATCATTCCTTGGGCAATGTTGGTAGGCACCAGGTCCTTGATTCTGCCAACTCTCATATGTCTTCTTATATTTATTTCTCTCTCTGTTAAATACACTTTGCATTCGTCTTATACGCTCCTAGAAAAAGGATCCATTAACCACAAATCACAAGAACATAAAAAAAATATGACATGGCATGAAGACTGGCTAAAATGACTATGCATAGAGTTTTAAATTCACAAATCAACAACAATAGCTAAAAGGTCATTTGGACTCGCTTTATTTTTTATTTTTTAATGAAATAAAACATGCATTTATTACTTTAAAAAACAAATTTGATTTTTTTATTTCTTTCAACAATTCTCAATAATAATATGCTTGTTTAGATATTCAAAATATGTACTTGCAAGTTGCGGGTATTAACCAAGAGCAGGGCCAACAATATAGAAAGAGTATTACAAATCATTTTAAAATTTGCCATAAAATTTCTCAGTACTATTATGATATATGACTAACCATCATAAGTCATTTGATTGGTTATATTCTAAAATAGTTAAACCTAAGATGCATGTGATTATGTTCTGTCAATAAAAGCTTCTCACTATTTTATCACGATTTGTAATAACATTTAGGGTGACCTCATTTGCAGTACTGTATATGTACGCAAAATACATCCCCTGAGAAAGAAGTATTTTTTAAGAAACAAGATAAGAGTATATCAAGGTTCAGATCAAGCATAAGCTTGCAAAGCAATGATCAAGCATTCAAACATAAAAGTTTAAATTTTGGAAAGCAGGTTAATAGGGTATAACTGACAGCTATCAGTCTTCAAACAGCATCACTGATGAAATAACAAATAGCAAGTGGAAGCAAAATATATAGCAGACAGCCTTCAGAGAACATAACAGAAATTAGTGAAAATTAAATAACAGTAAAGCAAACAAAGATTCCATACAGCCCTATGCAGGCTATAGCAAACAGGGAGATGCAAGTTGCCGCTGTTTGCTGATTTCAGCTTTTTGACAGCTTATGCAATTTTAAACATCAGAATGAAATAAGAATTCAACAAAATGGTAGGCTCATAGAATTGGTCACAGCCAACAGCAGAAGTTGCTCGATGCAAAGAGACAAAAAAAAGCAGTCACCAGATGCGTTCAGCAGATAAGATGCTAGATGCAAGCAGCAGTTTGAACCAGCTTATATACATTCAGCAGTTGATATTCCAAACCGCAGCTCAGCATGTTGTTTTTCAGAATAGATGAAATGAAATAGGATTATACAAGTTTGTAATAGAGAGAAAGTAATTGAATTCAGTGAAACCAGATTGGACAGAAGGGATTAACAAGCAAACCAGCTGCATTAATAGAAAAAATAGGGACCAAATCATTAAGAAGCAACCCAACAAGCATGTAGAAAACAAGTATTTAAGGGGCTAATGCAGATTAGATGAAAATTTGGAACTGTTTTGGCTTCATGTAAATCTCCCAATAAATCTCACATGGCAGTGAGGCCTAAGATGAAACAGAAATGAAGAAAACAACAAAATGAGTTAATCCTCTGCCCAGACATCATTTACAAAAACATTGAGACCAAACAACAACTTGGCCCACCAGAATGAGCTTGATTTTATACCATTCTCATATCCAAAGCAGTTCATAACCCCTTCCCTCACCATCCACCCATTTAATCTCCTTATCCTTCCCAAAATCGAATCTTTTTTCCAAAATCACTCATATTTGCATTATTCAAAGGCCCAAAAGGGAAAGCGTGCTTCAAATCCACCTCTCCATGCTTCCCCATCAGAACCATAATCCTCAACCATTTGTTCCCCGATCTTTTTTTTTCTAGCCATCACTAAAGACTGCGATGAGGCGAGGGCAGAAGAGATGGTGGAGAAGATTCATCTAAGAGGGCAAAAGTCAATGACATAATGAAAGAGGAGGTCGTGAGCGGATTTTTTAATGAGGTGATCGGCAAAGGTGGAGGAGCTGAGGATCTCCTTGGCAATTTCAATGTAACTAGAGATGACAAAGTGAGTGAGGCCAACAAAGAAAACCATAAGGTGGCAGGAGAAGTATGAGAGGGTGTGGTGGGAGGTGACACCAAATAGCATTATCTCTAACACCAATGTGTACAGAGGCAAGTCAAAGGAGAGGGTGTTTATAAAATTTGAAAAAATAATAATAGTAATAATATAAAATGTTTAAAATTTTGATAACATCTAAAACTTGGTTTTGGTGTTTCTTAAAACAAATCAATTGGTTTCTAAAAATAAAAATATGTAAATAAACATATTTTGTTTTTTAAATAATTTTAAAACAAAAATAAAATAAAAAAGATATCAAACAGATCCTAAGTGTGTAGTTATAGATAACAGTATTCACCATCTCAAATGGTAGAAGATATGACCAAGCAATATTCAATAGGAGCTCTCCACCAGTACATTACTGGAATTTTAATTTGATGCTTCATACGCTGAATAGAATTCCTATTAAGGATATAGTGTTAAGGCACAGAATAAACACAAGTAACAGACTATCACCCTTGGCCAGCAACAATGGGTACAAACAATTGAGCAATGATGTCTTTGGTGGGCTTAGGTGGGCATCTTAAAACCAATGGGCCAGTAAACCAACGAAACACTAGCATACTGGCTGTGATCCCTAGTTTTTATCAAGAAGAATGTAACATTTGCACTATGCAACATTATGTCCTAGAGACAATTGTAGGCACAAAAACTTTCACTTTTTAAAGAAGAATATAAACTTGAGGAAGCAATTGACAAGTTAAATACTTTTTTGGATGAATTGTAACTAATACGCAATGCCAAACAGCTGTCAAAATTTTCTATTAAACTACTTGGCAATAGCAGTAATTGATACTTCACAATAAAAATGCCCCAGCCTTTAAAAGCACAAGTTTTCTAACGTGCTAGTTAACATTATCCAAATTAAAACAAGATTGATGGCAAACAAATAGCAAATAAAATACTCATAAAGTAACATAAAATCTTTTAATTACAAAACTTAAGCCTTAGACCCATATAATAACTCATCTGTAAAACAAAGCATGTTTATCAGACTAATGGGGCCATCTCAATATAAGATGCTGTTAACCAAGCAAATAAAAGCTCGGCATCAAGTAGGACATACGCGAACTTCCAATCAGGAACTTAAAACAAAAATCAGCACCAAAGTTTGAAGAATAAACAAATAGCTTAGTAGCATTTTGTCCTGTAAGAATGTCTCAAAACAAAGGGTTCACACTGCTCAATATACCAGCAAGTGTTATATCAGGGTGAAATATGATTGAAGTAACAGAGACTTCTCAAAAGAAAGAGAACCTAGCGATATTGCAAAATTGCTCCGATCTAATTCCCATCCATCAAATGACAGATGACACCAAATGAGATTTACCGAGGAATAAAGCAAACTATTATGACCAAACATGATGTTGTTCACTTTTTGAATGATTTCATCCACCCAACCAACTCTTTTAATTTATTTAATTTTTCTCTTTGTAGATAACATTGTCGTTGTCGGGTCTCAAGTCCTAGATGAGAAAATAAAGGGTTGCATTTGGCAGTCGACATCCAATATAAAATTTGTCGAACAATCATGACATGAATATTTTAAAAAATGGTGTTAATGCTAAGGTGTTTCTCTAGAAGCGACGCATTGTATGGCATGAATACAACGAAAAGTATGCCATTGCACCGGTGCCTAGGTGTAGTATTAAATAAGCAAAGGTTCCCACATCAGGGACAGATGTGAGCAAAGAAGCTAGTCCGTGAAACTAAAATTAGGATATGAGCTTTAAATATAGGTACTCTTACAAGTAAATTAATAGAATTAATAAATAATATATTCATAGGAAACTAAATATGCCATATATTCGAAAACTAAATGTGTTGGGAAAAAGGCAAAGAAGTTTGATAGTTTAGGATTTAAATTATGACATTCAAGTAAGAGTCGTACTAAAAATGATGCATGTGCGATTATAAATATGAGTTTGACGGATAATGTTGCAAAAATTAAAAAAAATTTGGAGATAGAATTATATCTTTAAAGATTTTTGTAAATACTAAAATTATTATAGTTAAAAGTGCTTATACTCTATAAAATTAAATTTTGAAATGACTTGAAGAATTAATACTAAGGATATCTTTTGAAGAAATTTTTTTTTATTGAAAGAGATTTAAATAAACATGTTAATAGAGTGGTAAAAAGACTTTAAAACATTCATGATGATGGCTATCGATTTGGAGCGACAAATGAATGTGGAAGATCATTAGATTTTGCAATAGCTAGTGATTTTGTAATTGTAATGCCTTAACATTTTATCAATTATAAGAATGGACATGGCATAACTCAAATTGATTATTTTTTTTATTAAGAAAATATATTGTTTAGTTTGTAAAAATGATAAAATCATGCTTATTAGTTTTGAATTTCAAGATGAATAAGGGAAAAATAAAAAATATTGGGGTATTTAAATAACACTAATAAAAATAAGGCCAAATTTAAAATTTAAGATATTTAGGTTGTTTATGAGGAAGCTAATATTATTTAGGAAAAAAATAGTTAGCAATATTAGGAATGTTATAAAGTATGTGCTTGAGGAATAAAAGGGAAATTTTTTTATAGTAAAAACTAATTGATGATTGAATTAAAATGTGCTACAAAAGATTAAAATAATAAGCCTTGTTATAAAAATTGTTTTGGATGTAAAAGTTCGAAAGATGAGGAATGATATAGAGGGGCCTATAGGAATTCTAAGAAAGCAGTATGTGATGTAAAGAATTTAATTTTTAGTGATTTATATAATAGATTAGATACGAATGATAGCGAAGGATGTATGCATAAGTTAACCAAGCAAAAATATATGAGAAGTAAAGATTTAGTCAAGTAAAATGAATTAAGGATGAAGATAGCTTGCTTTTTTATAAAATTTGGCCTAAAAATAATTTAAGAGAAAAATTCAAAATCTTAAGATTTAAGTTATTCATGAGGAAGCGAATGGCATAAGTATAAAAATAGTCAATGAGATTAAGAATGTTACAAAATATATTCTTAGAGAACCATAAAGAAATGCTCGTAACAATAAAAATTGTTGGTCGTGGAATCAAAATATTCAAGAAAAATAAAAAATAAGAAGTTTTGTTATAAAAATCAATTTAGGTAATAAAAGCTCAAAAATTAGGAAAGATATAGAGGGGTCACTAAAGAGATTAAGAAAATAATATGTGATGCAAAGAATTTTACTTTTAGTGATTTATATAATATATTAGATATTAAGAAGGATGAAAAATGTATGTATAAGTTAATTAAACAATGAAATAGGACAAGGATTTAGTTCAAATGAAGTGCATTAAAGATGAAGATCAAAAAGTGTTTTTCTTAGAATAAGATATTCAACATAGGTGAATGACATATTATGATAAACTTTTTAATGAAGGTTGTGAGAATAAGATTGACTTTAGCGACAGTAGCACCCTAAATGAAAATTAAAATTTATATTTTTACCATCGTATTAATAAATCTGAAGTTAGAGAGGTTTTAAGAAAAATGAAGTGTGAAAAAAACAAGAGCTGATGATATACTAGTTAGTAGAATTCAAGTTGGATAGTTGAAGCGAAGGAATGCATCGGATCGATTGTGTGATAAAAAAGTACCCCTTAAACTTAAGTAAAAATTTCACAAGATAACGGTGAGACCTGCAATACTTTATGATGCAAAAAGTTAGCCATTAAATGAAAAGACAAAAATTAAATTAAGTGTTGTAGAGATGAGTATGATTAGATGGATGATGAGGACATCAGATCACAGAAAGTATATCAGAGACGTGGCCGACGATCTACGACCATGATCGCATCATCTATTTTTTATTCATTGTTTGTATTTGTTTTATTTGTTTGCGTTATGTATTTGTTTTAGTTGCATTTTCCATTTTTACCCTTAAAGTTTTGGTCATATGTAAGCCCTAAAGGCAACGTTGTCTTTTAGTTCCCTTTTATTGTATGAGGCTATTTATAAGCCCCTAAAGTTTCTTTTAGAGTTAATGAAGAATTATAATGAAAATTTCTACAACCTTGTGTTTTATAAGAGCTTGAGAGCTTTGGAGAGAAATCCCTAAGGTAGGGAAAACAGATCATCCACCAACCTTGGAAGCGTCCGGGTTCGTGGCTCTTTTCTACCTTGATCTTTCCTTCTTCTTCCCTTCCCCTCCCTTCCCCCGTACGGCCAAGCCTTTCCTCCAAAGCCGCTGGTCACCTCCAATCATCCTCACTGCCAACCAACCCTAATCCCACATCCCACCTCTCGGCCAAGCTCCACACCACACCCTCCTTCCTACTCGGCTAACACCCCATCCTCCCCATCTCCAAGCCACCCCAAATTCCCAACCAAACCCTAGCCTAGCCGCCAGCCTACTCCCTCCCCCTTTGCCTTTAAAGAAAATTCAAAACCCCTCATCATTACTTTCCCTCTCTACATTAACTCTTTTGGGAAAGTCTTGATTTCAATTATTCAATCAATTTTGAATTTTGAAATATTTCCTAAAATAGAATTTTATTTTTGGAAAGTCCTTCAAATCAAATCCAAATCAATTATAAATTGGCTTGGATTTAAATCCTCTTCCTTAATTTGAGATTCCCAATTAAGCAAGTAGTAAATCCCCTTCCCTAAATAAGCCGGCCCCCTTCTCCCTTTCTCTCTCCCTCCACATTAATTACCGTCCCTCTAATTACTTCAATCAAGCCTCTCATTAGGGATTGATTTTCCCTCCCCTTCTCTTTACTTGAATTCAAACTTCAAACCCTATTTCCCTCCATCCTCCACCTTTAAAATCTGAACCATATTTCCCCACCTCCCTCTCTAACCTAGCCAACCCTACCCTAACCCTAACTCCACTAAAATCTGAACCTAAACTCTCCCAAGCCTCCTACCTTGGCCGACCACCTTCCCATCCCTTCTTCTACTTGGATTCCTTGGAGAAACTTCTTTCTCGCAAGGAGAATCCTCAAGGACAGCAAAGAGCGTCTTTCACAATACTTCAATGCCACGTATCCTATGCATGGATAATCCTGAACTCGACTCCGGCTTCTTCTACAAAGAATAAGGCTTCGTTGATATCCTCCGATCACCCTTCTTCGACGTCAATCTGAAGGTAGATAATTCCGTTGAGGAATACGTGGAGCGCATCATATTCACTCTTTCGAAAGCCATGGAAGAACAACTTTCCACCGTTCAGTGGCTAATCACCACCACGCCAAGACAAGGGTGAACTCTTTTCCCCTCTTCAATTTCATTCCTATTCTCCTTCGATTGTGGTCGTGTATCAAGCATAAATAATCTTGCAAAGCTCTCTGCCAAAGCTTAGTAAACGTAGGGAATGAGTGATGGACTTCTATGCATCTAATCTAGTTGTTAATCTAGGGATGTTATTGGAAATCATATATATTTGCTTATGTTGAATTTTATAATTGTTTTGTGATCCTAATTATTATTTCATAATTTGGCCTAAATTAAGGCACCCATTTATTGTTTTTCGTTTTTCATTTTTCGTTAAGTGGCTAACGTTTAATTCTTATTGCTCTTACTTGAAAGCGTGCAAATTCTTATATTCATCATTTAAAGCATTTATAGTTCTATATCAATGGATAAATAGCTTTACACTTAGAGATTGAATGTGAAACGAGTATATATGTGAATGGGTTGGAGTAGTTCTAATTGCACAAGCAACAATTCAACGACTACAGGAATTAATGAGCACAAGCAATATGTGCCTTAATTATTATAGAAGGTGCTAAACCAAGCTATCAAAACTAAACCACAATTTTGTCATTAGCCATAGCCAAGCCCAATGCTATAACGTGATGCGCAAAGTGGTTTGATGCACTCGATTTGCAGGAAAGTGATGTGCAAGGCCAGCACATCACTTAGCTTCGAAGCGTGCTTTTAATAAAATTGGCATAAACATCAATTTAAATATTATTGACGTGTTTCTCTACCCATGTAGTATATTTTATTAATTCATTTTCAAACTTCCTTTGAAATAAGATCTAGCCTACTCCATATTTCATCCTTAGGCTAACCGCATCAAGTCATAGCAAGTTGTCGAGAATAAAGATTGCATACTCAAGTAGATATGGTCCTAATTCTACCGGGTAAAATTGAGGGTTCTCTACATAAAACTCTACACTTGGAGAATTAGTAGAATAAATAGATGGATAGCAATGATCGATCTTTTTCTTGGTGAAATAGACAAGGAAAAAAAGTTACAGTAAACCAGAATATATGCACAAAAGCTCATAGCAAAAGCATACTACAAAATAAATTATATTTATATATTTAATTTTTCAAATAGTGCATGAAATTAAAACAAGCAAAACTAGAAACATAAAAAATATAACATAGTTGAAAAAGCTAAACAGGCGGTGAACTAACCAGTCTTTCCATTTCATCCTCATACTCCTCTTGCATTCTGCTGTTATATCTTTTTTGAGCTTGCTCATGGTAGTTTCCTCGAGTAGAGCTGGTATTCTCACCCCACCACGATGTATTTGACCGCACCCTCAGCTTTCAGGTGTAAAAAGGAGGGTGAGGGGAGGATAAAACAAGAACAAATTCAGTGACATTGCAAAAGTAAGCATTATTTTAGATCTATCAAGTAAACACCTTCACTTTAGGTGTAGTGTTTGTACCAAACTCTGGCTTCATTTATTGTATATTAGCTTTATTCTCTTTTAGGAGACGAGTTTTAGACATTTCACCCATTAAGCACATACTTCATATACAGTTCTCAGAAACTTTATTAATCACATATGGCTGAAAAATACCCTAAAACAATATAATATCCTTCAGTTACATCTTACCATCAATAAAGTTATTTAAAATTGAGTCTTGAGTAATGAAAGGGTTAATTCCAACAATTTTAATGCATATTGTGCTGTTCTTTACTTGGTATGAAACATTTTTATACATTAGAGACTGGTCATATCATCGAGCCCTTTGACATCTCCAATCAAGAAACATACATATTCCTAGCGTGGGCTGCCTACAGTAAATTTTCAAATTCCAAACATGGAGCATGCATAGCACTAACATGACATATAGGTAAAGCATTACTTTGTGCATCCTCAACCTGTCTCAATATTTGATTGCTTGTTTGCCAAAACAAAGATGTGCAACTTCCAATCAATGGCTACAATATGATTTCAAGAAAAACTGGCAAAAGATGTTAGTGAAGTACAAAAAAACTGGTTAATATCCATAGCCTAAAAAGATTTTTTATCCAACAACATGTTTCAATACAGCTAAATGACCATCTAAAAACTAAAAAGCTCCCATTGTGTATAGCCCTCTTTTTTTATTTTACAAAAAAAAATGTCATTCGTTGCTTCATGCTCAGACCAGACTTAAGGCTAAGTTGGGCTTAACAAACTCCATGAGAATTTGATGATAGTCTTTCAACAAAACCCCTCAAAAATATTCTTAGATGCCCAATTTAGTCCCACAATATTATTTTTCTCTAATTTAATCCCACAACTAAAAAAATTGATTCAAAATGATCTCTTTTGGTCTAAACTAGAATCAATTCTGTGTAGTCGATAGACTAAATTAAGATCAATTTATATTACAAGGACCATTTTAGATCACTTTTGTATGAATGATGGATTAAATTGAAGAAATGTGATACACTGGTACTAAATTAGTCTCACACGAATATTTCAAAGGCTATTTTGGGATTTTATTTTTCAAACTTATATTAGAATAACTCCATTGATTTTTTTAGTAATGCTTGCATGTCCTATGGTTTGGTCCCATAAAATGTCGACCTTCCGATGAATTTGTTAAGAGAGTACATGTATTAGATCCGGTATTTCGGTCTATGTTAAGAAAGATAGAGTTAGACCTAATAAGACTTAAAACTTGGTTAGAAAGTATTAAAAATGACCCCTTTTTATTAGATTTAAATGAGAAAGTGGCACTTAATAGAACACAATGGATGAAAAAGATTCATGTAGCCAACCCCTCATAGTAGGATAAAGGCGTATTGTTGTTCTTGTTTTTGCATGGCCTATGGTCCCTAGTACAAGAACATGCATTTCAAAACACCAATTTCAGTATTCCACGAATCAACCCTCATTATAGCTCATTGTATGTAAAATACTTATAGAATTAATAGACAAGGATTATTTTCTTGCTCAGGACAAATTAGAACTGAACCTGATTGTAGACCCAATCGACAGTCCTCCTCAAACGAGTAGCCTGTGAACCCAAAAAAAAATGCAAACAATCTGTTAAAACATTAAACACAAAAAAATAAAAACAAAATGATCACATGAGTTAAAAAATATAGCACAAAATGACAAAACCATAAAAACATGCTTATCATTACTCTAAATGATATATCATTTGGAAAATAAATAGTTTTTTATTTTATAGAACTAGACTCTAAGCAATAAAAAATATATAGGACTCATGTCAAAGATTTACATGCAACTCTGAGACAAAGGTCTAACATGAGGCTTCCACCAATAATGGATTCTATTAAGGAGGGGTAAATGCAATTCCATACATTCAACTTTCCCAAAATTCATGTCAAATATGAATGGCCTTTTGAATCTAGTTAACATTTGAGAATCTTTGGTTTATTATCTCAAGAACTAAGGTAATCTAAATAATATTAAAAATCTAAATTGAAATTGACATAACCCAGAATCAAATGCTATCTAGATTACGATCTGAAACATTAAAGCTAAAATCATCATTGAACATTCCAATAATAACACGTTCTTAAAGCAAGATAACCCTACAAGTAAAAAAGTTGAATTTGATGAACATCATTAGCATCCCTATAAGACTACAATCTAAATAATATTGCTAATTAAATAGCTTCGGAACATGCACATCCAAATTTACTGATGAATACCTACACTAATTCCATAGATAAGTCCCTATGATGCCCCAATTCCCATCAATGATGATTGATGACATGTTAGAAGCCCCTTAAAAGTTTTTTAAAGACCATGATATGGCAATATCCCATAAATTGCCAATTCCACAGTTGTGCATGTTCCTTACAAGGTTTGAAATCGTGCAATCGGATATTGAGGCATTTTTTTATGAAGGCGTAAGCCTCAAAAGTAAACCATTTAATTAATAAAATTATGAAATGATAAGCAACAAATTAATATCAAAGTAATATTATAAAAAATTAAAGTTAAGGTCATTAAAGTCATACAATACTACAAACAACATTAAATAAATAGTCTCTCTCACTCCCAATTCAATATCAAAGTGTAATCAATATCATAATTTATGAATTCAAAAGTCACCTCCACTCTTATTACTTAGAGGGTTTCCATTAGAATCATCATTGTACTTAATTATATTCTTTCCTAATACTAAAAAAAAAATAATAAGTTCCCAACAACAATAGAGGGTCGTCTTGCGACTACAAGTTCGATGTCATGTAGTTCTTCTCAAGTTTAGCTTGGTTTAGGTACTAGTAAATATGTTGAATTTAAATAGAAAGTTTATAAATTAAACTTTTTAAATTACATAAACCGTAATTTTTTAGGCTTCGGTCTTTCAAAATTGCATTAAAATTGCACTCAAGTGTGACTCACCTCCAATGAAGCGTAAGCCTCATCTGGAAAACGTGAGGCATACACCTTATTGCATTTTTCTTTTTAACTATATTAAGGCGAGCCTCTAATTGTGCAATTTTAAAACATAATTCCTTATTATTACTAGCTAAACCTCTATAATACCACCACAACACTCCTTTCTCCAATTAATGAGAAATTTGGATCAACAGCAACGAATGTTTGATTAAATTTAACCAAGAACAAATACCACCATGTCATCTAGCATTCAATCCTCATCACAAACTACATAAAAAAAACAATATATATATATATATATATATATATATATATATATATTAAAAATAGGTCATCTTCATAGCTAAACCAGCCAACACTCCCAACGTCTCTGTTAAAAAAAATCCACATACAAATAGGTCAAATTCTCATTATCTTGCGAATTCATCTACTAGAATGTAGCTACCTGCATCAAACACCAAGCTACTATATATGTCATGTTGTGAAGTGGCAGTAGGTCCTACCAATGACGCAAAAGATAAGAGCTTGCAAAGATGAGCTTGAATTCATTATAGATACCTTTACATTCACATTTGTTAGTTCATTAGCCTCCATGATTCTTCACTATCTCAAAAAAGTCTACAAGTTTGGACAATATTCAAATGTAAGATTCCAAACTTCCACGTGCAGCAGGACTAAAAGCTTCTATAAACCTTATTTGATATTGTGCAACTTGTAGCACAGCTATGAAATATTAGAGGAAAATCATCATAAATCAACAAATTTACCTAAGCATACAAATAATAAGACATCAACTTAGTCAAAATAAAACATATAAAGTGATGCATGAGTAAATCAAGGAGGCATTAGATTGAGGAAGAAAATGGGTTTGTATTCTTGTTAGGAAGAAAACAGAGTGACAAGCAAAAAAACAACAACCTCTCCCACCTCCTCTATGGCGTACAAAAGAAACATGATGCAACTAACCCCTATCATCTGAGAGTAGGAGAACAAGTTAAGGGAATAGAGGACATAATAAAGTAAAAACTAGTAACTATATTAAAAAGCAATTGAGAAATAAAATAGAAACTAGAAGGGTAGAGAAAAAAACAGTTTATTGATATTGGGCCGAATGTGCACTGGTTGGGCAACTACATCAATTCTCTCAGTCTTCAAAAGAACTCAACACTAAGTTCACTTCAATTATGGCAGCTGAATCTGACGGGTAGTATTCAAATATGCCCTTAACATTAAATGTTTTTCATATCTTCAAGTGGCTGGATAGAATGATGATGAATGCATTATCATTGATTTTCCTCTATATTGATAATGATCCAAGCTTCTTATCTTGTAAAGCAGGTGCGGTTAGCAATGCTTGTTCAAATGAATTATAATTTTTCTTGCGCTGATGATGATTTGTTGAAGTTTCTACTTTTCATTGGACTCCTCTAAGCATTGTTTTACTTCATAATGCATTTGTTGGATAAGTTCAACAAGTTGTTCTACATTATGATTAATACCACCTGACGCTATTTCCTGGAGATCAACAACAGCATTGAGAACTTTTGTATGCACAACGCAAAACAAAGTGTACCTAGTTGATCGACAATCATGCTATTAAATGAAAACTCAACTTGGGAAATAGCTTGACACTGAGATGCTTGATCCTGAGATTTTGACCTTTTTCCTAGTATGCTACAACTCATGGACCCAATGTGCGATTGAAAAATCCCATATAGCCATCTTTCTTATGGCGATACGCATTGCCTGGTGTAAATGCAATGTCAAATTTTCACCACAATGCGTGCCAAAAGTGACTTAGAAATTGTGCACCGTGATTAGAAGTAATAGTTTTCAGTATTCTGTGTTGTTGAGCAATTGCTTTAAAAATAAATAAATTAACAATGTTAATAGTGTCGACAATCTTCCAACAGGAGATAAAGTGAGTATCCCCTTCTAATTACGAGTAAAATTTTCTCCTTTCTAGTCTGTTCTCTCTCCAAAAATTCCTGCTTTTCTTCCCCTAACTCCCAAACAGCGCGTCAAAATAAAATCATTCCCAAAAACACTCAGCCAAAGCAAAATAAAAGTATGACCCAGCTTTACATGCATCTAATGGGATATTAGATTTTATGAGCCAACTTAAAAACAATCTGCTGCACAAGAAAATGAACAAATTATTAACCCTATGCTAGAAACCAATCTCAATTTATAATATTCTTCATAACAATCGAGAGGGCAGCAGAAACGAGTTGGGTACCGCAACAGTCGCAGTGGCGCCGATCAATCCGAAGAAAATGATCCCCCGAGAGACGGAGCCGCGCAAAGTCGTTTCCCATTGATCTTGGTCGCCACTGGACTTGCCGCCGGCGGAGGCCATCATCTAAGATCCGCTCTTCGGGCGTCGGATCCCGCAATCGGAGAAGAGCATGCCTCCACTGTTCGTCTTGGAAGACGGACACAGATAAGGGAGTATAACTCCGAGGTGGCGTGCTCGATCGAGGCTAGAGACAGAGAAAAGGGCGGAGAGAATCGCCCTAAGAGAAATAGGGGTCGCGTTTATCTGCGTGGGAAAGTCACATATGTGGAAGAAGAACTTCTATTGCACCAATTTGCATCCGAGTATCCGACTTTGTTGCGGCCTTTCATAACAAAATATATTAATATATATTATATATTTCAATAATTTTAAGTATATAATATATATTTCATATATTATTTTTTCAAAGATCTAGTACATACATATAAGATATACAGGTGTTGCAATCATAAAAAATATCAGATTTTTTTATTGTGAAAATCCCAGAAAGTTAAAGAATGCAGGATCTAGCCCAACTAAAATGAATTCATTGGTGTTTATTGTTTATTACAAATAATGCTCTTTCTTAGGGAAAGTTGTTAGCTCAATGTAGCAAATATGCATCGGATAGAGCACATTGTATGTATGGAGTTAAAAGAATCTAATCATACCAGAGATATTCTCAAGAGAACGTTGTCATACTCAATTGGTCGGTAGGACTACAATCATGTGATAGCAGTCATATGAATCATAGTTGGATGACGGTGGTCAGATGGGCCATTGTCGAGTAATGGTGGTCGAAGGGATCATAGTTGGTAGGCAGCGGAGGTCGGAGGGACTATAATCGGCGAGCGACAAAGGTCGGAGAGACAGTTGTTAACGAGCAACTATGGTTGAATGGACCACAGTCGAATGACATAGGTCAGAGCGATCATAGCCGATCGAATGAAGTCGAAGGGATCACAGTCATGCAATAGTGGTTGGAGGGACTATAATTAGTGGGCAACCGTAGTCGGAGGGAGTATAGTCAAGCAAAGGAGGTTGGAAGGATCGTAATTAGACAACTGAGTTTAAAGGGGTTGTAGTTGAGCAATGAAGGTTTAAGAGACCATAGTCAGGCGATGGGATTAGAGGTATTATAGTCAGAGACTGTGGTCTGATGACCATATTTGGCAGTGTGAATGTGGTCGAACTGATCATTATTAGGTGATGGAGGTTGGAGTGATCTTAGTAGAGCTATTAAGGTTTAAGGGATCATTATCGGGCGATTGAGGTCAGAGGGACAACATTCGGTGAGCAACAAAGGTCGATGCTTGGCAATGGCAAGCAATAGAGACCAGAGGGACCGCAAATTGGTGAGTGACTGAGGTCAGAGGGATTGTAGTTGGCAAGTGACAAACGTTGGAGGGATATTTTTTGTGTGAAGGTGGTTGGAGGGACCAAAGTTGGAGAGCGAGTGTGGTCTGAGGATCGTGGTCGGTCGTGCGACTGATGTCCGACAATGACGATAGGACGGAGGTTGTACGATGATAGTCGAGTGGAGGTCTAGGTGTGGTGCTCGGGTTGAGGTTTGATGGTGGTGTCTTGGTGGAAGTATGGCAACAATCAGCTGGTGAAAAGTCCAACGATGGCATCCAAGCGGTGGGGGTTCGTTGGCGATGATGTATGAGTGGAGCTTTGAGATTCTTTAAGCCTTAGAGCTCTCCTAATCTCTAGCCCAATGTCCTAGCCCCCCAAAAGTCCCCTTCGACAGGGAGAGGGGGTATATTTATAGATTTTGAGAGCGGTATGCTTCGTAAGTATGGAGAAGATCCATACAAGTTTGGAATGCTTCATTGGATGACCCATATTGATTCTCTTGATCATGGAGTATTCACCAAGCATTTGAATACCTCAATGATATTAGAATTAAGTGATTTTAAGTTCGTTGGATTTGTCTCATCGAACCACTCGATTCAAGTATAAGCATGTCATATTTAGATATCATTTGATCACCTAATTAATATTCTGAAGCCTTCAAATATGTATCAAGTAATCTCTTTTGGCCCATGTGGGCTTAGATTGGACCTATTTTGATGTCATTTGGTTTGTCTCGTCGAGACATTCAATTTGACTATAAGTTTGCTTAAATTGGAGTTCATATGGCCTCATATTTAAATTTAGAAATTTTAAAATGAGATGTCTCGAGATCCGAGTCAATTTTTATGATGTATCAGTTGTCTCCCTATTTTCAGGCGTCGAAGCTCATAAAGTCTAAAAATATGTGTCTAAGTCTATCGAAAGGTTGTGATATAAAATTATAATTTATGGATAATTATGAGATGTGATCGATCGTTGGAGGTTAACATGGACCTCCCCTTGAGGCCGTGAACAAAAAATAATATTTCTGATGAAGTGGAGGCGTCCATTAGTACTTTGTTTAATAGTTTATAAAATACTAATTTTAACAATATCCCATCCAACAAACTTGAGGTTCAAAATGTGATTTCAAACTTAAAAAAGTCAAGTGAGCCTTTATATTATTTTACCAATAATCAGTGCTCATTATGATGTTGTTTGATTTGCTGAAAAAAATGTTGAAAAAGGAATGCAATGCATTTAAATATTGGGAGTTATTTTCATGAATGTAAATAAATACAAGTGATTTTGTTTTTCAATGGAGGCGATGACAATTGCGGTGGTGGCAACCAGCATTTGGAGGTGGCTTGCTTTTGATGGCAATGGTGATGTCTAGCATTGAGCACCACAGAGTGTGGCTAGTGACAGGGGAGTGATGCCCTGTAGTGGGCAATCGATGATGGCTATGACGGGCGTCTATGACAATAGGCAACTACTGACAACGATAAAGGAGTTAGCTTGTGGTGTATTTTGGAATTTGCCCAAAACAAGGGAGTTTTGAATTTGAGTAAATTTAAAATCAACCAAAAATTTACTCTGCATGCTTTTTTCATCAAGTGCATGGTAAAAATGTAACACAATGTAAATGGAAAGTAAGGTATTTAAAATATTTAAAGTTATTTGAATGAGTATAAAATAAATGTATACGATTACTAAAGCTCAACGATGATGACAATCATTGGTTGATAGTGGTCATGGAAGGTGACAACCAACAAGCAATGACGACAATAACAACTAGGTGTCGACATCTAGTGCCGATATATGCCAACGGTAGCAATGAGTGATGGCAGTAAGTGGTAGCAGGTGGGAACAGGGGCAAGTGGCCAACCAATATTGATCAACAATGGAGGGAGATGACGATGAACAACAATAGAGGGAGGCAAGGGCGATAACTGACTAGGGTCAATGACTGGCATGGGCAACAAAGTCAGCTTACAAAATAAATTAAAATTAAGCTGATAATAAGTGAATTTGGAATACATGAAATATATAATGAAAAAAATCACCAAAATTTTACTATTAATTCTTTTTTCATCAATCTAAATACCAAATTTGCATTCCTTCTTCAATAAATCAAATAGCCACAAAACCAAAAACCAAAATTTCTAAAACCCTCATATTTGAAATATTTTACACTCACTTTTCTCAAATTAAATAGCACCTATGTTCAATTGGCTAAGATTGGCACAACAGTTGCAAAATCATAATTTAAAAAAGCGGGGGAAAAGATTCAGTAATATTTGATTTGCTGAAAAATACCGTGTAAAATAAATACTTTGAGGTTGTTTGATTGTCTTTAAATCAAATACCTTTGAATTATTCTTTATGCTTGATTTGATGTATGCAGAGCAAAATAAAATGAATGCATTTTAAATTCTTAGAATATATTTTGCTGAGTGTATACAGATTAAAATGAAAACAGTCAGATTTGATCAAATATTTAGAGTTCAAATTAACAAATAAAATTCCATCAGATGTTGGAAAAAGTTTATATACAACAATCATGAAAAGTTGAAAAAATGGGGAAAAAAAAAACTTAAAAAATTATAATAAGTTCCAGATTCTCATGCACTGCTTTTTTTTTTGTTTGTTTAATTATAATACTTATCATTCCCATGAAATTTACCAAGTTATTTGACTTTTGGCATCATGCGAAGGTGCAGCAACTTCATGAAGCTATCCAAAAAAGAGCTAGTGTTCGGCACACAAAGCATTCATCCAATTGAATGTAATTTAGGCTTCATTTAGGACGGTTTTTGATACTGTTTCATAAAACAGTTTTTTAGTATAAAAATTTTAATTTTTAAACTAAAAAATTATTTTAAGAAGCAATAAAAAAATCTATGGAAATTTTTGGCTCTAAAGTCTTATTTCTACTTGAAGCAAAGAAGTGGTTTCTGCGAGTTCTGCTATGGGAATTTTTGGCTCATTGTCATGCTTTTTTATGATGAAATATTCGGCTTTTATGTGGTAAATCCCGAATTTATAAAATCAAGTTTTTTTGTCAGATTTCTAGAGAGGAAGAATCCGCTCATTAAATCCGTTTTATAGCCAAACAATCATACGAGATATAATAGAATTTATCATGAGTCATGACTGTTATCAAACAGTTTTAAGATTTAGGACCCTCAGGATTTTCGAAATCCGGATTTAGCAAATTTATGAAATCCTACTTAAATCAAATCGTGAGTACTACAAACAACCCCAAAAAGTTAAAATTCCTGAATTTTGTTTAATTTACCCTCAAAATATTTCCAAACAAGGCCATTTGATCAGTTTTGTTATAACTGAAAAGCTATATGTGCATCATGTTTTAGAACGAATCCGAGTAACCTGAAGAAAGTTGCCATCACTTCGTATTTGAAAAAAATAGCCTTCTTGTGCTTGTCACCTTCATAACAATCAAATTCATTTCTTACTACAAATTCCACAAATGCAACGGTACAATAATGGTCCAAACCCATTGAAATGGGCATATTACAATAACAGAATCAAATACAATCAGAAACTCAGTACTTTGTCATAAATCCTCATGTACATCTGTCTCATCATAAATTTCCTCCTGCGTGAACAAAGCACCATACACAACTAAGTTATATATACTACTTCGGAAGACAATTCATGAATAACAAAATGAAAATTTAGGAAAAATGATCTATTCATACCTGTAAAAGCTCTTCAATTACATCTTCCATAGTTATAATCCCAATGGCCTCATCTTCGTTTAATTCTAGCAGAGGCTCGCCATTGATATGCAAAACATCAGCCAAGTTATCTCTAAGCCGTTTTTTAGTACTCCCTCTCATGCTCCCTTTGTTAAAACTTCCAGCACCGGAAGGGCAACTCTTCCACTTGTGTAGTGGCGGCAACTTAGGCGTCATTTTTTTCTCTAGCTTGGCCTTGTCAGTATCAATGTCTACCCGAACGTCTTTAAGACAGATTCAGAAAAGGGAACAGAGAGAGAGAGAAAGAAATCAATAGATTTATTTGTACAAAAGAAAGCATTGAACATTACTAGCAGATGGGAATATTGGCTTCTGATAAATGAAACTATGGATGGTAAGAGGGAATTCCATGGACAAAACTTAGGGTTCTTTTGGGTCAGCTTTCTTATTGCTTTTCAATAATTAAAGCAACTTTTTAGTACAAAATTTTTAATTTTTATACTAAAAAGCTGCTTTAAGAAGAAACAAGAAAGCCATCCCAAATGAAGCTTTAATTGGACTTACCATTGTCGATATTGCCCTCAGGCTGCTCATTTGGACTTTTCAGCTTCACAACAACTGCCATATGGCTGTAACCCTTCTGGAACTCATTTAGAATATCATAAAGAGGCATGTCTTCTTTAACCCTGTTCCACAATAAGCAGTTAGATTTGCAAAAATTATATGATGGACTTACAAGGTGGGAAATACGAGACAAGGCAATTCTGAAAAAAAAAACAGGATTTTTTTAGCATTATGGAATTCGCCACTAGAACACCACGACGCTTGCACTGCATCAAGACCGTTTACCACGATGGCATACAAGAAAGCAAAGTAATTTTCAGCTTTGTCTTTTTTTGTCTTCCGTCGGCTCTTCTCTCTGTTCATTTTCCCTCACCCTCTCTTTCCTTTTCCTTTTCTTATTATGACTTCTTTTTTGTTTTATTTTCTAAGAATCCAACAAAGGTGAAGTGTAAGGGATTTCTCGCTTGTAGACTATGAAATGAATCTTAGTGTAATGCTCATTTGAGTAGGGGGTTGGGCGTGTAGATGTAGGCCATTTAGACGGCTAAAACCTACTAAAGCACAGTAAAGGTTAGATTATATCACATGAGGAAAATGTCCATTATTTTCCTAGAGAGTTCGCTTCCGCTTGAAGAAGAGGTGTATGGGATTTCTCGCTTGTGGACTAAGGAATGAAACGAAGCGGAATGCTAATTTGAGCAGGAGATTGGACGTGTAGATATGGGTCATTTAGTAGGCTAAAACCTACTACAATACAGTAAATATTAGATTATGCCACATAATGAGGAAAGTATCCATTATTTTAATAAACCATTAAATTTAACATCCAAATTTGCAAATTGTGATAATCAAAATGGCAAAAACATAACCAAAAGACATAAAAATTATATATATATATATCTGAAATGATATAAATATCTGACATGGAAAAAAAGTCACTCAATATTAACTTGTAATAAGTTCATCACTATGCAACCTACATGCAAATATTGAATACTTACTATAAAACCTGTTCAAATTCTAGTGAAATTTAAGAATTCAATGGGCATACAATTTCAGGAATCAGTGACGGTGCTTACAAATAAAATGTAGATCAAATCTTGGATATGAATGTTTCAAGGCAACACAATTTCCAGCCAGCAATACAGGGGGTTATTCCACATGAGAATTGCATATGAAGTGACTAAGTGAGCAAATGCCAATCTCTAACAAAAAAAAAAAAAAAACAGACCTTGGAATTTTGCGAATTGTAACACTTCTTACTGGAACCTCATCTGCAGGATTGATGTTCAACAGATCTTTTACCTACATAAAACCAAATAATCAACACAGAAACATCACAATCATCATCATCATTAACCTCATATACTTGGGGTTCAAGCAACATAGACTTGGATTGCCAATTTTCCGTTTCATAGCCATAAAATAAGCAACATCTATGGTAAGCATGAAATCATTCAGAAAAAAAGGTAAATTCAAAAAGCAAATACTTTAAGAAATAATAAGCCTAAATTCAATTTGAATGAAAAATAATGAATTTGAATGAAGTAACTGGACAACGTACATGTTATTTAAAGTTTGCTAATGAATAATGCAATCAAAGCTCATAGAAAGCCTATATAAATACTTTAGTTGCAAGATTTACAAAGTATAATTGAAAGATCTAAACTCATAATTATGGAAACAATAAGAACAACAAGGAATCTTTTTGTTCTTCGAATTACTTGACACAAGGAAATATATAGACTGATTTAAGAAGAAAATAAGGAAACTAATCAGCAGCAAAACAAGAAAATACAGCTGCATAAATAACCTTCTTACTTTGAATATATACCATTAGATTGTAAATCAATAATTTTATAATATGCTTCCTACGTTCAAATAATTTTTTGATTTCCTTCCTTTACAATAATAAATAGGATCCCAATTTCCTTCCTAGACAATAATTCAAGGGATCCTGATCACTTTCTTTGGTATGAATATGCCGACTACAAGAGTCCCCCTAAAGCTAAAGAATAATGTCATGATTTCTTGAAACTTTGATCCACTTAGTTTTTTTTGTAAAAACATTTGTCAGTTTCCATCTTGAGGGGACATAAGACATGCAAATTAAGCCTTTTTCCAACTTTCCTTGATTAAGTGTTTGCCAATCTCAATATCTTTGTATGATCATATCATGTTGGGTTATGAGCAATATTTATTATTGATTTGTTGTTACAGTACAACTTCATAGGTCTTTTCACTTGATTCCTAATCTTTTAGGATGATAATGTTCAGCCATAATAATTCATAAAATCTTCTGAGCCCTAGATCTAAATTATGAGTCAACACCGAATCCAGTCACAACATTCTACTTTTTGCTCCTCCATGCCATCAGATTTACACCAATAAGTACGCAATATCATGATGTTGATCTTCTATCCACTAGTGAACCATTATAAGCTATATTTGCGTAGGATTGCAAGCTGAGTTCATTATTCCTTTCGAGCTTTAAATATGAATCATTTACCTGAATAACTGTTTTATGAAATGCAACTCATAATAAACATGTAGAATGTCACTATTTCAGATTATGCATGATAAACAATGTATAGTCTTTTATGAACAATGGTCAAAAAGTTTCCCTATCAGTCTCTAGTACATTTTCTTACCAATAACTGGTTCTTCTTTTGCTTCCTCCAATTTCTGATTTGGCATAATAGGTGTAACAACTAGCATGCATCCTAATTTTTAGCATCCTTCAAGATCTACATCATTTTTTTGTTGAAAGATAAAAAACACCTGCTTTTTCTAATGAAATAATTTAATTTTTCAAGTTCTTTTATCTCAAATTCGTTAATCAAGCATTATCTCAACTATTTAACACCCCTTTATGGTTGAGTGTATGATGAGGAGGGCATGATCACCTTTAACTTTATTTGTACCCATTTCCTTTCCTAACTTTAGCAATCCCCTCAAAATAAGCTCTAGGTGATTATTTTAGACCATTTAGAGACTTCTTTAATATGACCATCCTCATTTCATTCAAATCCTAGAAGAATGCTCATGAAAATTTTATCTTCTAGATCCCCATAGAAGAAGGCATTCTTCATATCATCCTATTGAGTACTATTGAAGATGTCAACTTAAGTGATTGTTTGGCTACAAATAGGATTAAACTCAATTAGGTTTAGTAAAATCCTATGAATTCAGATATAGTAAATCCTGAGGCAACTACATGCTAAAAATATTTGGCATGACAAATGTTAAATTTGGTTACATCTTGATGAACTATTTTGCTATTTACTCGGGATTTAAGTCCTATCTAAAATAAATTTTAATAAATCAATTTACTTGTTAATATTAACTATTAAGATTAATTTAACTGTATCTAATTTACATGATTGAATATTATTAATTCTAATTTAAAAATTTTTATCAATCCTAATTAGATTAATTAAAACATAATAATTATATATTAGCATCCTAATTAATTATTAATTAATTAAATTTAAACTAATAAAATACAAAAAAATATTTAACCTCTAACTTTTAAAATCAATCATTAGTTACATGAAATATCATTTTTCAATTATAATTATACTTTCAAACTATGTTGTACTATTTTTTCAATAAATTAAATTTCCTTATTATCTCCTAATTCTGTTTCCCACATGATTGAGTATTGCAATAGACTGTAAAGAAAAAAAAAGGATAAAATAAAAAAAAGAAAAGCTGATAGGAGAGATTTGAGAGAGGGGAAAGCAGTGTTATTCTCTGCCATTCCTTGTCTTTCTTTTTATAATTTCTATTATCTTTGGTCTTTGTCTATGCTACTCCTAGAACCTTAGGACTGGCTAGGGCTTGCATTTCCTCATCAACATTTCTTCGTTGCTACTTCGAAGTCATGAAGTAGACATGGCGCTCAAGTTCTCCTTCAGCTAGCTGCCCTTCGTGATGCATGTGGTTTGCATCACCGTCGCATGTCATCGCTAAACACTTCGCTTCAAAAGCATGGTTTTGACAACACCGTTGGTTTAAAAAGAAAATAAAATATAGTAAAAATAGTTAAGGATATAAAACTTCATTTTAGAATAATAAATTTGACCAAGATCTACATCAATTTAGGCTGGAAGAACCAGGAGTTATCCAAAATCTAAGATTTATCGAGAGAGATTTGAATTTAAATCTAATTTTGTTAAGGGAATTTAGGTTCCATGTTAACAAAAACAACCCTTAGTGCTGTTCTTTAAATTGATAACCTTGCTAGCCACGATTTTTGCTATCAAATCAAGTATTAAATAAGTTAGAGCTTAAGGTATGAGCCACAAAGATAAACTCTCCAAGGGAAAACAGATCTGGAACATGCCAAAATAACTAGAGATCTCAAACAGGCCTACGATAAACTAATAATTAATCACAACAATGAGTGCAGAAACATATACATAAATTGATCATAAAGCTCAGTAAAAAGTTCAGATAGATAGATTAACTCACCAAAAGAAGCCCAACTATGTTTGAAGGTTGATTGTAGTAAACTGGCACTCTGCTATGTCCCTTCTCCATAATCATACCTGTCAAATCTCTGTAAGGAAAAAAATTACGAATGATAGTTACCAACAAGCAAAGGAAAAGTTTCACTCACAAGACTTGTATATGTTAATAAGAATAAGACCTGCCAATTTTTGCATTGATATCAATTGCAAAAGCCTGAGAAAGAGGAGTCATGGCATCTCTTGCATTTTTCTCAGTAAGTTCCAGTGCTCCGGCAATTATTGTTGTTTCGTCATGTGTCAACTCCCCTCCTTTTCCAGCCTGTTTTTATGTTGGTGGTAAAAACATCAAATAAATAGGTAGCTGAGAAAACATTGCAATAATAATTAGAAGACATCTCGATCTTGAGCTTATCATGATTCCGATTACCATCACCAACAACAAATATCCTAAACTCTTAATAAACAAAGATGATTTTTAAGCAATATAAGGCAACCATATGTCTATGAATAGGGGTTTTACGACTTCTAATCAGATAATAATTATGAAAAATTCCCACCTCCCACCCTCCCTCTCTCATGCATTACAAGTCTAATGAGAAGATTCCCATCCAACATATAATCCTCCCTCGTTCTCTCTCAACCATTTTTTGTACAACTCCCGAGAAGATTCCCCACTACAATGCATCCTGAGTCCCGACACACTCATCCCATGGTGTGATGGTGGTTTATCCCTCCAGGCGTTATTCAAAGGATGCAGAAACCTCTTTCAGATTGAACTTAATAAAGCAAGCAAAACAAAGTCCATTGCGAAAGAAATAACAAGATTAAAACGAAAGTAGTCGTCAAAGATGCTCATCAAATTGGATTAAACAATTATATTTCTGCATCATATGGCATCAAAGCCGATTTTTCTAAAGATAATAGCATCTGAACCCTAACCACCCAACGCCTTACTGTTACCTTTTGGTAGGTGGAGTCCATATCAAATCAAAAAATCCTTTGATCTTATTATGAAATTTTAAGCAAACATAACATATCGTGCGAAAATGGGGAAGGTCCACTATAGTAAAATAAGTTACAAAGTTTTGCTCTTTTCCTAGTAAGGAGAAGGAAGAAAATGGTGGAGAAGGAAAAATATAGTAGTTTAACCACAAAAATTTGCTCAAATTGCAAATCTTTATAATCACATGAAAAAGACCTATTTATAAGCCCACACCATACAAATAGGAACCTTTTGAATAATAGCATCAGCACATGTCAACAAGATCTGAGTAATGCAAGTGCCAAAAGGCACGAGTGGGGTTTGGAGGGCTCCATGCCACTTGTTAGGGTCATATTGACCAATGAGTATGAACAAGCGCAACCATACATTGTTGCTAATAGTTGGGCATCTAGAAAATGTTGGAAATGACATGTATGGGTTGGTGAATTTTAGACAATATAAGAGGGCATATTAATTGGGCAGTGCGCATATGGCTGACAATAATGGTTAAATATACAATGATGGCTGGCAGTAGGAGGCTAGGTGTAAATAAGTCGAGCTTAAGTGAGCTCAAGTATTTCTCGTTAAGTAGATGAGCTAAAATTTCTATTTGTGAATGACTTGTTAACGTGACCCCCCCAAGCATAAAGTCTACTTGAAAATTATATATAAATTAAAACATATACATTGCATCATGTATATAAAACTATATTCATATAAATATAAATGTAAAATATATATGCACATATAGGCGCATAAACACATAATAGTATACATGAATATATGCATATACTACAACAATAACATCAAGCCATTATCCCAATACATGGGGTCACGAATATATGCATGTATATATTCATATTTTCATAGAAATATAATCAAGCTACTATCGAGCTAAACATGATCGAACTCAAATAAGAACCTTTTTTAATAGCCTTAGCTAGCAGGTTGTCAACTGATGTGTGGGTTGTAGCCGAATGAAGGAAGGTATACTGGTGCAAGGGTTTTGTGGATCTTTATGATGAAGGAAACAGTTTGATTGATATCTCCTTAGGGTGTTGTTGGAAGGGTTATGCGGATGGTGATAGAAAAGGTATTCAAAGTTTGGACGAATTTAGTACTAAAAATTTGAGGCTATCAAAATGTGAGTTTTTCTTAGATGAAAATGGTGAGAAATTTCAAATCAAATATTTGAGATGATAGGGGTTTTACAAATATTGAATGGCTGGTTAAAGAATTGTAATATTTTTAAGTTGATTCTCACATGAGAAAATTGTCTCTTTATATTGGACTTTTGGCTAGGAAATCTAAGGATTATTGTGAACTTGAGCTTTAGGAGGTCATGAGAGATATGGTGAATGTTTGTGAGAGTTTTGAAGATGTTGGATGTATTTGAGGTTGAGGCAAGATAGAATTTAAGTTATACAGAGGATATGATAATTGTGTTTGAAAAATGAAGAGTAAGGGTGGAGAAAGATAAGTCGCCAAAGCCCTAAGAGATTGCCCACCAAGCTTCACCAACGAGTAAAGCAAGCAACGAGCCTCTCTACACAAAATTTGCCTGAGAAAAAAATAATTTTATTCAACGAATCCAAAAGTGAAAAAAAAAGCAATATCCTATTTACAAGCCTTTTCAAAGCTTGGATAACTTTGAAAAACCTTAGAAGCCGATAAAATATTATTATACCATTATTATTACTAGGACAGAATGAAAGAACATAAAAGAAATAAAATAAAATTTAAAGCTTCTAAAAATATAAAAATTCAGATTGGCAAAATAAAGAAAATGAATGGTCCTTAAATCAAGCAATTTTTTAAGATTTCCACTTCTTTGACTCGTATGACCCACCTACCCATCAAGGGACCTTAAATTAATCTTCTTAATTATTATTCAATGATTTTTGAGAGATTATGGGTAATCAATGGGCTTGCATGGAAAGTTATGTATGATGAATGACCTAAATCTTATTGCAATATCTTGATTTATGACCTTGTTGTCCTTTATCTTGGTGTTGCATAAGGTGGTAGGAAATGGATGACCGAGAGCTAGCGCTGGAATGGGGTTAGCCAGATAACGCATGAGGTTTCAAACAAATCAAGTAGCAATAGATGGACGAACTTAATGACTAGAAAACAAATAGAAGTGGCAAATATCGACAAGATAGCAAGCTGGGGACGAGAAAATAGAAGCAAGGCAGCAAGTTGATGTCAGGAAGACAAAAGTGAGATAACAAGCAGGTGTCATAAAGATAGAAGTGGTCCAACACAATCAAACCTAATATTCCTTGAGCTAGCTAGCTAGGAAGTGAAAGATAGTCGAACATAAAAACCTTTGGAGGATGATCAAGATTGGGTGCAAAAAATTGGGTGTTGCAACACGCCCAAGTTAATAATGCCAAATAAATTGCCAGCATATACCCCTGACCACATTTCATTCTATAGATATGCGTGTCAAATGGTATTGAATCTCTTTACATTTCAATTTTTATCATGAGTGATGAATAATTGTTAAAATTTTAAATTTATGAATTGCAAAATTTAGTGCGTTGCCTGATTCTGTGCATCTCACTGTAAATATGCATTTAAAATCCTAGAACCTAACACATCCAACATAATATTCCAAAGTGGAACTGATTTTCCTTTTTATAGAAGCCTACAGTTTTTTAGCTTAATTGACAGTACCTTATAGAACTAGATTATGTATTAGAAATATGAAATAAACATGAGTAGCCTATTTAATGCATTTAATATATTAAGGAGAACGCATTCCTTGTTGACAGGTTCCCTAAGCGTCTGGCAATGAAAAATCTCAAAATGTTTTCTACAGAACAATAGAAAAGGCTGAACTTTTATTTTCATTTTTTATTTTAAATTAAAAGAAGCATTAACTGACCTCATTGCCATGCAAACTAACAAGGGTCTTTAACTCAGCTCTCCGAAAAAGAGCGGCATGGCCGTTTCCAAGAATATAGTCCAGCAACTGAGGTTGGAATAAAAAATTAATTAGTTTTGTTCATAACATATCATAATCAATTCATCATTACGTAAGCATGTGAAAACATCCTGTAATACTAGGGGTGTCAATTTCGAGTCAAGGGTCGGGTTCGGGTCGAGCAGGCAGGCAAATTGTGGGGCTGGAAGGGCAGCTGGCATTGGGGCAACAGGGCCGTGGGGCAGGCAGGGCAAGCGGGGCAGCAGGGCAGCTGGGTTTCAGGGTCATTCCCGGGTAAACCTGAACCTGAAACATACCCGATTTTGCAAATGGGTCGGTTTTCCGGACAAGAACCCGACCCGCTTCGGGTTCGGGTCAACCCAAACCCGAAATTTTTGGATCGGGTTCGGGTCGGGTTTTCGGTCGGATCCACTATTGACACCCCTATGTAATACTATCTTAATAGACTATAAATGTGACAAAGGTGAAAAAGAAACTGACCTTGCTGATAGGATATGCAATAGGAAAGCAGATACATATGAGTATACGAACCACAGGTGCCAGTGCTGCTCCAATTGCTAAACCATATCGAGAGCATACAGACTGTGGAATAATCTGAGATTGCAGGAACATCAAATAAGCAAGTGTTAGCACAAAAGGAAACAAATACAAATATAAATGATTATTAACAATAATGTTCTTCAAATGAAGAGAACACAAATCAGGGTGGCTTACCTCACCAAATAGTAGTATCAAAGTGACAGAAATTAATATTGCACCCCAAGCTGAAACCAAACTGTCAAGAAAAATTGGAAGAGCCTAATGCAGGAAAGAAAAATAAACATTCGATATAAATCACCTAATATGGCAAAAGATAACGAGACTAGAGTTGTAAAATCTTACCTCCATAGCTGCGGCATTGCAAATGAGAAGAGTGCACAACAACAAGTGTTGTTTTTTAACAACAGGCATTATCCTTTCTGCGACAAAGTATAAAACAATCAATTATTTTCTTTACAGGAACAAAAATAATAACCTTCACAAATCAAAAGATTAGTTTGAAGAACCAGTTTTTGTTTTTTTTTTAAGGCGTTCAAGACTTTGTCTATTTAGATTAACACATTTTATGGTAAATAGGATCAAATATATAATTAGACATCTGTATATCATGGAAAAAAAAAAAAAAACTCATCCAGAATGTAGGAACACAAAAATCCTATTACTTCCCCGAGTAATTGAAGGCTTTCAATCAACTTATACCTAGAAAGGCTAAGCATTTAGTCAGATGGAAACCATTTACATTTATTGATTATGTAGCTGTTGACAGCTTTGGAAGTTAGTGATAGATGGGTCTGGTTTAGCAAGGCAAAATGAAATATTTCCCCAAATTATAAACTTCCTTCTTTTCATTCTGGCCTCAATTAGTAAACCAACAGAGATCTTGGTCCAAATGTAGTTTTAAGTGACTACCATCCCCTAAGTTTTGGAAAAACCTTTTCTAACTACGGACATGAGTTTGTTTGAAGTGACTGCATCTAACTGTACAAATTAATTTGATTAAATAGAAGCTATTATGTCTAATTAGTTTAATGACTTACAAATTAATAATTAATAAAAAATGTCATTTTACAATAACTATAATTATATTAGTTTAGTTTAAATTTATATAGACCAACTAGGCATAGTAAAATTTTACAATAATGTAAATCCTTAAATTCTGAAATAAGTGTCAAAATAATTAACTGAGTTTTAATTAGATTTAACACATTATACCAAATAGATTTCAAGATTTAACCCACATAAAATTTAGTAATCTGAATTTGTAAGATTTACTAAATCCTACTTACAGACAAAGACCCCCTTACAGTTACCACATTCAAGCTTTGTAAAAAGTTAATTCTAACTATGACAGAAATCTCTAGAAAACAAAATGTTATAGAAAAATAAAGTTGTGAAAAAACAGCCACATCAGACACTAAATCTTTATTCCATCGCTACCAAACAAAATGCCATCCGGCGAAACTGTTACTGTTACGGAACAAATCCATTTGCAGTAACTATCTAAGAAGGAGGAATGCGACAAAGTTCATTTATTACCAGCATGCTTGCGGTCCTTCGGGGTGCCTGATTTTGCCAATACCTCGAGATCGACAAGGCTTAGTGACATAAGGCCGAGGGTTAGCCCGGACATTAGCCCCGCAAAGAGCACTAGCAGCACGACGACCACCAGGTTAATAAAGAAGCTAGTCTCGCAGCATTTGTGCTGTGCTGCCATCCAACAAACCAAACAAGAAAAACAAAACCCTACAAAGCGATAGTGAAACAGAGAACAAGAAGCGGAAGTGCGGAATCACGTGGAGTAAAAGAAACAGAACGCGACCAGCTTAGCAATGGCGATCGAAAACGATCAAGCCCTTGAACAAAATCTGGATAAATGGCAGTATTGCGCCGACTTTATAGATAAGAGATTTTGATTCCCGACCAGCAAGCAGACGCTGTGCATTTGCGACACGGTGAGAACAGCGGGGAGATTACGGAGGGAAAGCGAATGGAGCGCACGGGCTTCGGGAATCTAGCATGGATGACAGGTGGCGAGTGCTTGGAGCTCCGGGGATTATACAGCAATTATATAAAGAATAATGGCATTATGTGGCGGAGTGACGCGACATCTGAGAAAGGTTTGCTATATTTTAAAACAAAAATTATCAATCAATTAAATTTTTTTAAAACGATTTTTTTACTGCTTAAAATAAAATTTTAATATAATTTTATAATTTTTTAATAAGCAGTAAAAGAGACGTCTCAAATAAAGTCTAAATTTAACATTCTTATTTTAATGATTTTTATTAGCCTAAACCCTCACCAAGTACTTCTTCATTATAATATTAATATAGAATTTCTCTAGGATAAAAACAAGGTGTTAGACCATCTTCGAGTGTGTGAACCTCAATATTTCTTGAGACAAGAAGGGTCGAAAGTGTATTTATGGAAGGCCAAAGTGCACTTATCAAAGGTTGATAAGTCATCAACATCATCTTGATCGAGCACAAATCTCGAGGCATATTCAAGTGAAACTTTAGAAATTAAATGTGGGACACTGAACTCCATTTTCCATAAATTTATAATCAAATTGAATGTCTCAGTAAGATGAATTCGAGGACACCAAAATAGGTCAAATCCGAGCTCAAATGGGCCCAAATCAAGGGAATATAACTTATTTCAAATATTCAAAGCATAAATTGAATCATAAAATGATATTCAAATATAACATGTTTATAGTCAAATCGAGCTGCTCGATGAGACAAATCCAAAAAGCCAAATGATAGCTTAGTTCTAAAATCATTAAGACACTTAAATGTTGTGTGAACACGCTATGATTGAAGTAATCCGTCTGAGCAATCTGATGGAGCACTCTAAATTTCCCCTTGATCTTCTCTATATTCATGGAGCATGCCGCTCTAAAAAAACTATAAATATATTACTTCTTCTTAGATGAGAAGTGTAATATCAGTTTTTGCTCCAAGTTCGTCCGGACGAAGTCGGATCGTCCGGGACGATCGGTACAGGTTGTGCAGAGAAAATCATGTTTGGCTGTATGTTGGACATTAGGTTAAAGATCAAGAGAGCTATAAGGTTTAAAGAATCACGGAGCTCCACCTAGACACTAATGCCGGCAAACCCTCACTACTCGACCATCATTGTAAAACTTCCGCTCAATCATCATCGTCGGATCTCCATCCAGTCACCACTGTCAAGTCTACTTCTAAGACTTTGACCATCATCACCTACCGACTACGGTCCCTCCGACCACTGTCGTTGTCCACTACAATCCCTCCCGATCACTATCACTTGTCGACTATGGTCCCTTCGACCAACGATCTCTTACCAACTATGATCCCTCCAACCTCCTGTCATTAGCCTAATACAGTCCCTCCAACCTTTATTATTCGTCGATCACAGTCCCTCCGACATCCAATACTTCCACCTTCTTTCCGGCCATTTTTCTTCTATCGGATCCACAAAAATCTTCTTTCGGAGACGAAGATCTTGCTGAAATTTCAGAATTTCAGCCGCCGGCGGTCCCGAAACGATGCTCTGATACCAATTTGATAGGAAACACTTGGATTTCCAAGTGTTTCTCACCAAGATCAAGTAGATCTAAGGGAAAACTGCTGTCCACAGCAGAAAAACAGCCAAAATACAAGAAAAATCTGAGA